CTGCCCACAAAGGACAAGAAAAAATAGCTAAATAATTTGTACTGCAAGTTACAACTTGTAATATCCTTAAAAGCTCAAGAATTTCTTAGCTTGTTGATGCATGAAAATGAGCTGTTAGAAAGAGTTCTATACAATTAATTACATTGATTAATGCAAGCAACCACCAAATTTCACCACCTAAAAAGAGGTACCTGAACTTCCACGCCCTCATGTAGATAAGCCATTCCCTGAGCGGCCCCAAGAATAATACGTAGTCTTGTTGTCCAAGGAACTGTTGGCATTGACCGGTTGAAAAGATGATCCTCCAAGCTCTTATTGGGCATGTATTCATAAACCAATAAGCGATGGATCCCTCTTTCTCCATCCCAAGCGCAGTATCCTAAAAGCTTTACAAGATTGGGGTGATCCAAAACTCCAAGGAACTGGACCTCTGCAACCCATTGTTTATGGCCCTATGTGATAATCAAAATCCGAGAAAATACATAAAATGTAGGAGATTATTAAACTTTTTAAAAACCAAAAAACCAGGGAATAATGCCATTTTGGAATGTCACAAGAATTTCCCAATTATTGTTCCATATTTAAGATAAACACGATAATCAAGCAAGACATAGGCATCTAATTAGGACTTGATGATTTAAACAAAACCAATTTGCATTATTAATATCGTTTACACCACATCATAAGAATTTGAGTCCACTTTTATGCTGGGTAATCATAGGTTAGATGAACTTTATGGAAAATGCATCTTTTCTATCATCCTTGTAGGTTTTTTCTTTCTTTAAGGTTAAGATACTACATTTAAAAAAACTCTCAATTAGTACTTCTTATATAGTTATTAATATCGTCTTTGATGTAACTCATGAATGCCTGTTGCTATGCTTAACATTGCCCAAACAAACCAGTCTAGAAACATATTTATAAGACAACAATTCATAGATATCATAGATAAAATATTTAATGAAAATAAGATTATTCGTCTGTATCCTCGTCTGAAATTTCACACTTACAAGGAAAACATATCATCAAAATGAAAAATATCATTCCCTATCATGTTGAAACCATAACCCCACACACTTTTGCGCTTCAATTCAAATTTCTATAGCATCTCACCATGTTTAATTCAACATTTAAGCTAGTTTCAACTCTCACGTTCACTAAACATCATGCATTTTGCACTTAGTTTCAAAATCATTCACAACAGCTGTGTAGAAACATGAAATGAAATAGAAGTCACCCCCACAACATCAGAGCTGTAAAATACAATTTTTACGAAAAAAATTGCCGAATTTCTAAGCTTTTAGACTATGAGGTTCAACAAAAATATCAAACCAAAAAAAGTCTTGCCGCCACCCTTTCATATTTAAATGAATAAACCTGTCCAGTCTTTCACAGCTTAAACTTTTGGAATCAAAACAAGCAAAAGGCCGGGATTTTGACGCTACCCATTAATAAAAATTGCAAACATGTCGACGAAAAACAATTAAATCAAGGGCCCAAATGCATGTGACCTCAGCATCTGCCAACAAAAGTGTGAAACAATTTCGGTACTAAGTAGTTTAATTGTAAATTTTACTATCAGCACATAAAAAATACCTGTAATCCTTGTGTATTGAGTTTTTTAATGGCAACCACCGTGGAATCTCCCTGTCCATTTGGCGGCATAATTGTACCTTTATAAACACTACCAAAACCACCTTCCCCAATCTTCAGCAGCCTGTTGAAATTTTTAGTTGCTTCCCTCAGTTCTGGCACAGAAAAAACCCTCAAATTCTGCTCTCTTTCTTTATACATCTCTTTTATACTCCGAGGGGATGAAGCTGAACCAGTGGATTTAGATACCCGCCTTGAATCCAAATTATCTGATTTTCTTTGATTACTTAATTCCGGCGCCGATTTCCGTTCCCGGGATTTCGACTTGTCTTTGAATATCGTAAAACACTTCATCATTTTTTAGAAAAATCAGAAATACAAAATCGTTCCAAGCCCACAATTTTCTTTTTCTCCACAGGCTATTTGAAATTGATCAAATCAATTCTGCTAAAAGGTGGGCAAAAAGGGGTATGAAAAAAAAAAAAAACACAGAAAATTGGAACGATTGGTTGGAAAAAAGGAATAAAAAAAAGAATTAAAAGGGAGCGGAAAACAAAATTCAAGTGGGAACTAACTGCAGAAAACGTGGAGAACATAAACTAGTCGAAATTCAAGTGGGAAATCGAAGATGGAAAAAGAGAAATTGCTTTCTAATTAGGGAACTTGTATGTGTGTGAAAATTTCATAGAAGTGGAATTGCACTTTGCAGATAAATATAATTATGAAGAAAAATCAGATTAGAGGGAAAAAGGAGGATTGATTTGAACATATTTCGTCAAATAAAATTCAATGAACTAAACCATGATTACTTTGATACATGTAGCATTGAAACAAATTGAATTGCAGTATAAGATAGACGTACTAGAAAGTTTTGGCATTCGAGCAAGGGTCAAACTTCAAAGTGGAAAATAGCCGACTTATTAATTTTAATTGTTCTTTTTTCAAAAAAAATTCTTTTTTTATTTAGGAAGTGTCAGGTACTGATTTTTCATACCATAAAATCAATTTTTTAACTTTTATTTTATTATTTAAGCCATTATTTTTTACCATTTCTCTCACAGATAAAACTTACTTTTCTCTCCAACGATCGAAAAATTAATTCTCAAAATCACTACCAAATAAGCCCTTAATATTGTCCATTAGCAACTTATAAGATCATCTTCGAATAATGCTTAAAAATAAAGAAAATATATGGTTAAAAATGAATTTTAGAAAAAAAAATGACTTTAGAGAATGAGAAACAAATATGGGCTAAATTGATAGATAATTAACATATAAAAAATTATGTTAAATTAAAATATGAGGAGAAATCAATAAATATATTTTTAAAAAAGTAAAATAAAAAGTTAAAATAAAGAGCATTATTATAGTGCAGAAAATTTTTTACTCCCTAAATTTAAAAATATTCTAATGCATGAGATGCTATTTATAAATAAAAAATTTCTTAAAAATGATTCTAAAAACTATGATCATTTATCGAATTCATTAATAATAGGATCAGTGTCTGAAACTTATTTTTTTAGAATGAATTGAAGACATTATCTAAAAATTTATTTTTGCTTGTAGAAGTTGTACATTTAATATTGATATTTGATGCATTTTTACTGCATCAATATCACAATTGCTTCCGTAGCTTGGCTCTCTTCTGTTGGTTATGCCTGATCTGATGGAGGAAGAACCGTGCTTAGAAATGTGAACAATAAATAACTTAGGCCCTGTTTGGAAGTGATTTTTCATCTCAAAAAAATTATTTTTTTGACTATTATTTTACTATTTCAGGCGTAATTTTTGATTTCCTTTCTCACAGATAGCCCCCACTTTTTTTCTAACGATAAAAAAATCAATTCTCAAAATCATAAGGGATTTGCCTTTCTATTGATTTCTACGGATTGGATCAAAATCACTACCGAACAGGTTCTAATGTTAATTCAATTGTTTAAAAGACTCTAGAGAGCTATTTGATTCTCTTTATTTCAAAACTCATTTTTCTCTAATCATATTCTTCAAATAAAATATTTTGTACGTAATTCGAAAATTTTCTAATACTTTTAACCGCACATTTTCCAATATTTCACAATTACAAAACTCATTTTATCCAATAATGTCCGTCAAATGGGGTCTAAGTGGCGAAGTAATTAACGCAAAGAAAGTAATGAGCTCAAGAATTAAGTATCTTTAACTTAACCCTTGTTGGAATAAGTTATTCAGATTATAAGTCGATAGATTGTACAAAATATATAGCTAAAAAAATGAATGAAAGTTGTTGATCCAATAAAACATATAGTTAAAAAATGAAATTAGACAAATTGATAATCTTAAAAATGCTTTGTCAAACAGGGACTATGTGCTTGTTTGGGAGTAATTAATAAAAAAAAATTGATCAAACGCGATTTAGAAGAATTTAAAAAATATTATTAAAATTGGGTATGAAAAAGAAAGAAGTGACGTCAATAGAAGACCAGAAACTAATAAATAAAAGATGAAGAAAACCTCGTCACGTTCACATGTGGTGTTGTCCGTACGTAATTTCCGCGTTTGCGTTTTCTGATGGTAGTGTGAACGTTGGACTTGGACCCGACCCGTAAGGACTAAGAGGTCACATTCAGTGACAGCTGGAAGATTTAATGGCAAAGATACAAGTAATCTTAAAAGTTAGTTAAATTGTCATTTAGGTCCCATTTTTAAACTTTGTAATGATTAAGTTTTTAAACTTTTTTTTTTACAGCGAAAAAGTTAGAAAAAGGTTTTCCTTTTATTTTTATTTTTTTCATTTTTTTCGTAAGTAAAAAAATAATTAAACTAATGTTAAATGTGGTAATTATCTCAAAATAATTAAATAGGAAGTTGCAAAAACTTGGCTGATAAAATATTTTTAAAAAATTTAATTCGGAATTTTCATTCGTATGTACCAAAAAGTAGTTATAAGAGTATCATTATTCAAATAATAGACTATTTCGTCTGATAAACTTATAAGTGATTTATAAAGAGGAAATGTTTGAATAATAACGAGTACAAAACATAGAGTAATGACGATGTTTGGTTGGTTGATTTAGTGATGCCTAAATGGATGGATGATCGAAAATTTAAAGTGACTCAACTTGTTAAAAAATTAGACTAAAATCTGTGCAAACGTGCTTCATGGCAATTAACGGGTAGGTTAGCTAAACTATGTCATGTTGGTTTTTCGACCATTGATCCTTGAGGAATAGCAAATCGACTCATATTATTATGGGAGCGACACAAACATAGGAATTCTCATCCTATTTGTCTAAGTTGGAGCTCTAACTTGCACTATGACTTGGTGAACTATGACGTTAACCATGTCCAATTGTCAAGTCTATATCGTGCCAAATTATACTAAGCCCTTGTTTGAGCCCCATTTTTGTGAAAAAAAAAAAAAAAAAAAGAAATTGTGAGTAGTGTATTGATGGAAAATATGTTGTTAAAAAGTAAGGAAAAGTTTTGGGTTTATGCGTAATATTATTTTATTGAAAAATATGTGATTGAAATGAGGGTCATAACACTGTTCAAAAATTTATTTTTTAAAAAAATGGGGCTCAAACAAGGGCTAATTTCCCAAGTACGTGTATAATCTTACTTATAGGTGAAAATAAAAACATTACTTACAAATAAATTTCTTGAGTTGAAAAACATGTATTAATTATCTCTCTCTCACACACATTTCTCTAGCACGTGTTTGAGCCCCATTAATTTACATTACATTTTTCTCTCTCCTATTTTCAACCACACAATCTTCCATAAAATAATATTACACATAAATCGAAAAAAATTCTTCATTTTCAACCACTCATTTTTAAAAAAAAAAAAAAATAATATTCCATCCATTAATTTTTCACGTAATGGGGGCCAAACGGGGGCTTAGACTCAAATTTATCATTTCTCAAAAGAAAAATATCAACAAGTCAAATTTATCATTTCTCAAAAGAAAAATATCAAAAATAAAAAAAAAGTTGGCGAAGCTGATCCTCTATGATAGCTTCTACATTTGGTCTTGAATTATTGGCTCAGCTGTAAAGGTTTATCCTACACAACCCTCGACCTGTGCTAGGGAGGGAAATGCTATTCTGCCAGGGTCATTTGTACCGACCCTGGCCAAATTCTTCTCATACAAGGGAAAGGGGGGGTGGTGGGGGGGGGTTGAGTATTGTTTCTTTTGCCATTAAAAAAAAAGGGGTGGGCCCCCATTGCACGTGGTCAGGATCTGATCAAATGACCCTAGCAGAATGGCATTTCCCTTCATTAATTTCATTCTATCATCATCAATACCATATAATATTTAATAGCAAGATAAAGAAAAAATAAATCCAAATAATGTCAAAACATCATAGCAAAGTAATAATATAAACGCAAATTCAAAACTTTTAAAAAAATAAAAAATAAAATTAACTTGGTATGTAAATTCAAAATTTTTCTCTGTTTTTTTATATATTTAAAAAAATTACTTTTTACAAAATCTATTCACAAAAAAATGTTACTCAAACAGAAACTAAGTATGATAATTGAAATAATCGTTTATGAATACTATGTGTCAATAGTTAGACTGACGTAGGAAACACGCTTCCCTCAGGAGAGTTTCTTCATCCTCTCTGATTTTGAGAACATGCACCTCAACAACTTCTACCGTCCCTTTAATATCACTTTCAAGACAAGATTCAACATGAAATTTTTGGTCAAGACTACGACTTTATCTGTAACTCTATAGAGTCAAATTTGTCATGTCTCAAGAGGAAACACTCTTCCCTCGAGAGAGACTCTTCATCCTCCTCCTCTTTGATTTTGAGGGCATTTAGTGAACATGCACCTCAACCAAGGACGAATCCAGGATTGAATTCAAGACAGGGCTAAAAAATTTCAAGTCAGGCTAATACGTGAAAAAAAAAAATTTTACACATTAAAAATCTGTTTTTACAAAAAAAATAAAAAAAATTACCCTAAAATATATTAATTGGACCTGAGGGAGGGGGGACTACAGCCCAGCTAGTCCCCCAACTAAATCCGTCCCTGACCTCAACAACTTCTACAATCCTTAAATCTCACTTTCTAGACAAGATTCGACATGAAATTTTTGACCAAAACTATGAAGTTATTTGTAACTCCATTGACACTACTTTTCATATGATTTTACGAAAATGAAAATCAATTAATTTTACATAAATACTTCATATATTTGTAATCTAGATGGAAAATTTAAATTAAATTTCAGCTCAAATCAAGAGAGGATAGAACGTAAGACAAGATATTGTTAGACCTATCAATCAAACAAAAACATGCTAAAATGTCCATTTCTTACCTTATATAAAGATGATGCGGATAGAAAAATAAACTATCAAATACCAACTTAAAACTAGACCAAAAACTGACCCAACCAAACCGCCGCTTAAACTAATAGGATTTTGCCATTTGTACACTCTTCCCTTGACATCATTGTTGACATTACCTTCGTTTTCAAAAAATTGTGAGCAAAAAAACATTTTTTTTTTGTTTTAAATTGACGAATGATAGTTTGCCACGTTACAAACTATCAAACTTGATGTACGATGTATACCAAAGTGTACACCATGCACAATTGAAAGGTTCCCGTCAAGGTTTGTACAGTACTAGACCTCGACCTTATGGGAGGTCCTTATGGGAGGTGTAAAGTACCAGGATAATAATCCAAAGTAATTCGATCTGACCCGTCTTTGGGGTGGTCCCGCCTCCTAGTCTTTGCAGTGCACATGCACTTTGACAAATTTTGAGTCTTCTACAGTACCTTTAATTTTCACATTACAAACAAGATTTGACACGAAATTGTTGGCCAAGACTGTGGTTTGACCTTAGTCTTCCACCGTACCTTTTATTCTCTATGTTATATTCACTTCATAAGTTTTAAAATTTGCAAGTTATTTATATTTGTAGTCACCATTTACACCATCGATTCAAAACAAGTATTAACTTCTTCTTTCTCATTCCTCCTTCCCTGCACTGCATAGCCCACATTAGTATGAGAAACGATTGTACAGATATTCTCTAATGTGGGAGAATACTAAGCCCCATTTGGTTTGCATTAAAATCTCAAGTTACCAATTAATTTTCACGACACATTTCAAAAAACCCATAACTTTTTAACCACATATTTCATCAATTTTTATCAAAATCTACTAGAACTAACTCTGATTTTATAAACAGGGCTAAATATTATACTAAAATATTCAGTGTTTCTATATACAAAAGTGGGACCATTGCATTTCGGTTTAAATCTTTCTTTTCTCATTATCCAGTGTTCACAAATCCTTCAGAACTACGTCAGATTCAGACAAGGATAGACATTAACCTGCCTCTTAACTCCAACACTCCATCCATGGCAAATCAAATGAAGAAACATTACAGGAAGATGAAAAAAATTCAGAAATGATCTAATTCTTTGGTTTGCTATTCACATCAAATATTTGCCTAGCAACATGCTTTAGCTGAAAAAATTTCCTTCCCGTCCCCCATGTGCATTAAAATCCTCACAAGCAAAGAAATTTAGGAAAACAATTTTTTTTATGGAATCTCAAGAAATAATCTGAAATTATTAATCTAGATTCGAGATACACCACATTAAATAAAAAGTAATGTACTGTGGGCCTTGGCAAATAATTTGACTGCCAAGAGCTTTACTCTCTACCATAAACAAGAAATGTACCTTACATGCTCGTAAAAGAAGTTCTAAAGAAATAATAACTTTAAACTTCAGACCTGAATTGCTTCTCGTGACTTAAGCATCATGGCTTGTGGATCTTGAACCCGAACACTCTAGGAGCATAGCTCTGTGAAGACTTCTGTGGCTTAAGGTGTCCATAAGTCATCAGAAATAGGTGGGGAAATGTTGTTCCAAAATAGGCTCCATCAATGCCTTCCAATCAGTTAAAGAAACAAATGGCAACAATTTCCATAGAATAAAGACTAAGAGAGTACTAAATTTGGGAGGAGGAACTAATTTTACTAAACCATACTTCACAACTGAAATTGAAGTCAATCTCAGCACACGGATTCACTCTCTTTTAACATGCACAAAATTGAGAGAAATCGAACAGAAGGTCGAAAAGAAAAGGATGATGTAATTTTAAATAGTTTCAGCATTTTCTACCCATTCATTCTCTTTTAGGCATGTCTCCATGTTTGATTATTAAAGAACAAATATAAATGAGTTCGGCTGAAAGAATGAAATGGTCCAAAGGTTATAAATCAATCAGCCAAATACGGATGATAGTTTGAGTTCCACCAAATCGAACAGCACTAAACTATGTCTCCATGAAGTGATTGCAAAACTGAAATAAAAGGATACTCTCTTGGAACCTGGATCGAGGAGTGTAAATATCTTCACATTTCGGACAATATATTTTCACAGTGCTTAAACGGGGAATGTCCGATTCACCAATAGGTAGGCAGGGTTGCCCACAACAGTATACTTTTGGGCATCTCCCAAACTCAGCATTCTTGTACTTCTCTAGCTGTGAAGGAAAATGATTGGACGACAAGGTTTAACCAATAAAATTACACAACTAAACAGGATTGAAAAAATGAAGCAACATCGACAGAGATTAAAGTTAACACCACAGATTTACTGCTTTACACTTAATATGAAACAAACCCAAGTTTTTGGGGACTGTAAATAAAGATTATCCAGTTGCCATGTTTCCTGGAACAATTAAATAGGTCCTCTAAACCTAAAGATCCAAAATTTACTCTTAACTGGGAAAAGTTTAAAATCTGGGGATGTAATTTAACTCTAGTAGGTAAACCTAAAGTACAAAATTAATAGCCTAACTAAAAACTAATCTACAACCAACTAAACTTAAAGTTCCAACAAGAGCAAAAATACTAGTCCAAGGACTTGTGAAAAGATATTAAACTCTCACTCCTGCCTGCATCAGGTAGCCAGCTCACATATTGCATAAAATCTGAGGAACCAAAACAGTAATATTATAGAACCAAGTCTCACCATAGCAGCCAATCCTTTAGTTGTTAATATGTAACGGACATGTATTAGACCATAAAGCATCTCGGCTGCAGATTCAACCAATTCATTCTGCTCCTCTGTAAATGAATCACCTACAAAATTTGGATTTCCGAAAAATCATAATCAAGTTAAAACTATATACACGAAAGAGCCATGAGCCACAAGTCATACACAAAGAAACCATAAAAATTAATGAAACAGAAAGTGAAGGGCTCATCTATCCATGATTTAGCACAAGCTGTACAAGTAAATAGGACACAGCAGATAAGAGATGCCTCTGATGTGCAATGTGATTGCATTTTCAACTTCATTTGCTATTAGATGACATTTTTCCTCGAGATTTGAAGATAGCAGAAATCTCATTTTCAGGTTTTGCATTTCCATATCCTAGCACCTTGTTTACACTTGGTCAGGATTCAGTTACTGCAATCAAATAAACCTTTCTTCGAAGCATCACTATACTTGCCTTAAGCAGTAACTTGTCGTCACACAAGAAGAGTTCTGGAGAGTAAATGCTTTGTAATACCTATATGTTGAACCACTTTTGATTGAAAGCTTAAACTATTAGGGTATTTTTGATTGCCAGCATGGAATTTATAGAGAAATAATATAAATTCTAGGTAATTGAATTACCTAGAAATTATTTGCATGGAATTGTTAATTAAACGTGTTCGATTAATTTTATTTTTAACCTAAAAAATGTTATACTTATCCATTTTTTTATTTTTATTTTTTTTAATGACTCGGGAATCCGAGCTTCGCCTGACTAATCCTGAAGAGCGGCGGCCTTCTCCCCCAATTTGCCGCTCGGGTAAATTCGAATGCGATCACAGCTTATACACATTTGGGCCAAACATTCGGGATGTGGTTCTCCTCCCCGTGGACCTCCCTTTATGACGTGCGGACTGAACCCCCAGAGGAGTGACATATACTTGTCCATTTTTTATTGGTAGGTAGATAGGAGAGAAAGGGGATGGATGTGAGAGAGAGAGAGAGAGAGATAGAATATATATATATATATGAATTCTTGTTTTCAACACACCCCCTACGTGTATATGATGGGTTCATTTTTATTTTTTATTTTTAATGACATGTGCACAACTTCAATTAGGTGACAACAAGACTTAAACCCAGGAATGGACCTCTACTTGCTTTGATACATGTTGAACTATTTAATCTAAAAGCTAAGTTATGAAAGCAGACCACACATATAACATCTAGATCTTGTCTTCAACACAATAGGTAAAAAATAAAATAAAATCAATTCATCTTTTTGCAAAAGCCAACTAAGTGCAAATTGAAAATAGCAATAACTTGCAAGAGATGTCAAACGAAACAAATCTTGTTTTAAACTCGTTACCGTACTGACAATCAAATCATAACTATAATTTTTGTTTTGAACCTCTTTGAATTACCGAAGATTTCCCTTTCAATTGTTCTTGTAGGACTACACCTGGAAAAATACTGTGGCCTAAACATTAATTGGTTAACTCGAGGAAAACTTTAATT